ACCTACCTCAATGTAATGCACAGGGCAGATGCTCACATATTGTTGTACAAAGACAGAACTGGTCCATTAATAGTCACTACCGAGAGTGGTGTGCTATTGTAATACTAATCTTATATCGAAATCTTTTTGGAGGTGTATTTAAGAGTTACAAGGAAGGGCTTCTCCCCGCATCAATAACAAAATTATAATTTATCCTTGAAAGTGATGGCCATTTTATTCTTAAAAAAGCATTTCCACTTATCATGCAAGCCTTGGAAGTATGAACTGTTTCCATTTCAGTGAATTTAAGATGCCATTTGATTGTGGTTGTGATGGCTTTTGTAGATTGGTGCTCAACATCCTTTCCATTATCTTTCTAATGTGCCCATCTATTCTGTAGGGGCTGGAAAGTCTCCTAGATTCCTTGCAGCTGGGTCCTAGAATTTTAGGATCAGCCAGTGAAGCACACTTCTGTAAGAGCTAGTCATCCTTCTGTTGCCTCTGTTCTGGAGGTGTCAGGTTTTTCTGTGACAGCATTAGCACAGCACCCCCACTGTCTAGTCACTAGCTTCAAAGGCAGGGGGTGGTGCATCTATTTTGCTAGTTTGGACTGTAATGAGTATGAAGTGATTGTGAAGCCAGTAGCTGTGGCAGTGGTGCTGTATGTCTGGATCCTGAAACTTCCTGACTGGAGAAGAGGCAGTAGCTACCTGGTGGCCAGTTCTGCAGAGTGGCTTTGTGAATTGTCCTTAAAGCTCAACCTTGAGTCTGCTTCTTCAGCCATTTCAATGGTTCTTAAGCCATTAAAAACCCCGTAATAAATCCTTTCCTGCTTAAACTACCTTGAGTAGATTTTATTCTCTATAAATGAACCCTGACCAATACAGAAATGAAATGGATTACAGTCATCTAGAGACAAAAATTAAATGGATGATAGCACAATACTGTCAATCAATATGATGATCAAAATGAATCCTGAGCCTCACCGAAAGGAATGGTTTACACTGTAAGTTTAGATGGATACTGTCTATTTGTAATCTAATGAGCTCCCAAGAGAAGGCCAGATACTGCACGTAAACTGAACACTGTCCGAAATCAGAAAGCATTGATCAGGACCTGTAAATTTACTATTCTTTCCTTTCGATAAGCACAATTTAAAAGTGGTATTAGGCATGATTAAGCTGAAGTAGGAGCGTGGGAAATAAGTGACTGACTCACAAGAAAAATAGTATTTTTGAATGGAAACTTTTCTCAGATACACTAATTTTATGAAAATCTACTGATTTCATTAGTCACAAGGAGTCTTAAGCAAAGTCTGTGAGAAGCTGAAGCTCCCCCCAAAAGGCTGACCCCCAAGAACTAATGGAGAAGACAGCTGAGTACTGGAGTAGCAGAGGAGCCCTTCATGAACAGTGTTCCTTGGCGGGGGCGGCGGGGGTGTCTAAAATCAAACACAGAGTTCAAGTGTAAAATTTCACTTTGAAATCGTATAATTAATTGACGCTAGCCAACCTACTGCAAAGGATTCTGAATGATGGGAAGAAAAAAACAGCCTTAAAATAAAGACTTCGATGACGATGATCTGTTTTGAAGCATGTTTTTCTTGAAGGGTAGTTACAGCCACCATAACAACTTTCATGATGCTTTAACTTAAAATAGTTAAAAGGAAGTCTTACAGTACTGCCCAGGTGTACAGGTTACGTCAATGAGGAATGTGTCAGGAACGTGGAACTGCTATTTTAAAAAAGCTGACGCGATCCTACAGTATACTAACTGAAATAGGACATGCAAAAACCATGAAGTAATTTTTCCCAATATATGCACGGATGGTCAAACCCTTATTAGAAACTCACATCCAGCCTAAGGCTTCATAATTTTAAAAGAATGTGGAGAAACTGGAAAGGGAACAGAGTATAGCACAAAGACTTGATTAAGCTAGAAAACAGGGCATAAACATGGTAAGGAATGGGAACTGCTGTCATTTAGCCATAAGAAGGCTACGTGGTCTTACTATGTCACTTAGTGTTCTTGGCTATAAAAAGAAAATAGACAAATTACATCTAGAAGTCCTAACCACCCAGACAGTAACAGCATAGAATTAAATAAAATAGGAACATAAGGTTTGCAGCAACAATCAGCAGAGTGAGAACGGGTCCTGCCATGTGATTCCAAAAGGGCCGCCCAGATCAGCTCAGAGAATCCCCACAGTGGGAAACCACCAGACAAACGGAGCTCTGGCTGAACGACAGAACTCCTACGATGTCTGTGGATTACTAGATAAATACTGAAATATTTCACTATAGGAAGAGCTATTCCAACTACTTCTTATCATGGGGAAAACCATCAATGGGGAGGCCAGCACACTGTACCTGTTGTGGACATTTACAGAAGCAGAATAACTAATTCACATAGACATCTACTTAGCTCTATCAGCAAGTTACAGCAAGTTTGGTGAATAATTGTGTAGGGCAATCTTGACATGTACTGACAGATTTGAATATCCAGTAGTAGTACTTATACTTTAAAGCTAGGATCCATGCCAACAGGAAAAAAACAACAACAAACTACTGGCTCCTGGGTCCCTGTCTACCTTCTGTGAGGGATCTGCCTTGCCATAGTCTCCATGTTTTAAAGAGTCATCTTGGTCATTAGGCTGGTTTCTAAAATAAACTAGGCTAGGATTAAAGATAGCAAAACAGCAGGTGGCTGTATCAAATGCCAATGACTACTTCTTTTGAAATCTTCTAAAATATTTTGATAATAAAATGAGGGATTTTAATTATTTCCTCCTTGACCCTCCTCAAAAAAAGCATGATTGATGGACAGAACAATGCCTCAGACCCTGGATCACCCTGATGACCACACATATCAAGATACAGGTTTTCTACAGAACCACAGTTCAGATTCCTGGAAGGAAGATGTTGGGGGAGTCTGGAAGGGAGACAGCTGGCAGTAGAAAAGAGGTGTTACTAGAGACGATCTGGATGTTTTCTGGAACTAGCTATAACCCTGATGCTTTAACTCTGCCCCTTACAGAAGCTTAGAATTCCAAGTAAAATTGCTATTAAAAAAAAAAGTGTGAGGAAATGTCTTCTTAGTCCAAATGAAGAATAAAATGCACAATTATCCAATGGTTTTGAAATACTTCCAGGATACTGTTTGCATAAGCAGGCAAGATGAGAGTTTCATACGTTCCCCATTAATCTACTTCTTTTTCCTCATGCCAAATCAACTTGACTGTTTACGCTCAGATCTATTTTCTCTCCTTCTTCTGCTTTGTTCTTCCTGCAAAAGGCCAAACACAGCAAGCCACATTTCCCAGGCCCCATGCCAACTAGCTCCTAGTTAGGCTTGGCCAACAGAGATAACAGGTCCAGGGGAGGGCATTTCCCTCTCTTCGCTTTAGGGATTACATCTCTTTCGTGGGCCAGCTCCCGCCAGGCAACCACAGTTCCTAGACTCTGGACATCACCTGTCCCTTTGGTCCCTCTTGTCTTAGGGGTAGTACCTTGCTCCTCCTGATCTCAGGATTTCCAGCTGTTTCCTATTTGCCCTTCTATTTTACACCCTTTGCAATAGTTTCCATGTTAAACTTCTTCCATGAAACTCCCTGGCCTGGGTTTTGTTTTCCTGATCAGACACCGACTGACAGAATTCTCTCTATCCAACTAGTGACCACGCCTTGCCCGCTTTTGAATCCATTTCTCTTCATCCCTTGCTCACTGTCCTAATGCAGGTCATCACCTCTCACCTGAACTAAATCTAATATCCCCATTTCTAGTCTCTTGACCTTCAGTTTAGCTCCCTGTAGAGAACTTTTCTCCACTGCGGCCAGAGCGAGCTTCCTAAAACTTTGTTCCTAACCTTCCTCAACCCCCTTCACCTCACACAAGAGCTAAGTGCCTTAGTGTGACAGACAAAGCTCTTCACAACCCATCTCTTTCCCTGGGCCAACCTCACCTTTGGCTTCTCAGTGTCTAGTAACACAAAATTAATGACAACATTGGCTCACACACCCACTCACACACACACATCCTGCTTTCCAGCTCTCTGCTCTTTGCAATAGGATTTCCTCTCTATCTGCTTGTGGATGACTAGCCCTCCTTCAAGCCCAAGGATGTCTCTTCTAGAAAGCTTCTGTGAGGACCCAGGCCACCAAGCTCCCTCTGCCTATTTTTATGATCGCATTTGCCATATTTTATTCACATATGCCATCGTGAGTCTCTTCCACCTAGGGAGAGTCTCTCACAGGCCCCAACCATGTCTTACTCATCCGTCTCTGCGTCTGTGCTTCCTATCAAGAGATGCTGGCTGCAGGGAACTGAGCTCATACCCCACGCACCGTGGCAGGCCAACGTAGGAACCCTTGAGTTATCCTACCTTCCTTCTCCTTTCCCGCCACATCCAACTAGTTATCTAGTTTTAATTCTACCTCAGAAATTGCTGATACCTTGACCCTTCTCTTCTCTCGCACCCCACAGCCACTGCCCCAATCTTCTAAGTCATTGTTTGGAAGCTGTCTTCAACCATGACCCATGATGAGAAATACATTTTGTATCATGACGCAGGATATGCATTCTGCAGTTCAAGTTTTGAACCAAGTCACTAAGATACAATTTTCAAAACGCAACCAAGCAAAAACTCATGATTTAAATCTAATAATTATCCATTTTCATTCAAAAAATTTTTCCAGGTTATAAATCCTGTATTACACTCAATGGCTTCAACCCTGTCATGCTTTGTATCCAAAATGATGGTGGCTCTATTAAAACATAGACACTTACGCTAAGTTTTAAGTAAATCCGCTTTGTTCATGCTGAAGATGATTTAAGTCTATTGAAGTGAATTTATTAAAAATTCAAGCTGTCCATAAAATTTATGTATAACAAACAAGTAAATCAGACAGAAGTTTTATGAACCATTGATCCTCATTACATTAGACTCTAATATTTTTTTTCATTTAAGCCTATTTTTTCTAAAGACAAGAGCAACCCATTAAAATCATTTTAAGATCCACTTACAGGTTGTGACCCGCAATTTGAAGACCACTGTTCCAGGCTTTCTTGACCACTTGCTTGAACTACTACAGTCGCTTCCCTGCCTGAGTCCTTGTCCCCAGTCTCGCTTCCATGCAGTTACCTTTCTAAAAGGGACAAATCTAACTGTGTCACTTTTCTCCTAAAAAATAAATGTCCTGGCAGTCTGACTCATCACTACCTATAGAATGAAATCCCTATTTCTTAGTATATGACATATAAAGAGGATCAGGATCAGACCTGGTCTCACTTTTGACCCTTATCTCCACCCACTGCCATCACCCTCTCCACTTCCCCGTGCACCTTTCACCTTTCCCCTCACTTACTGGCACCTTCCCAGCTCCATCCTTTTATCACTGCTGTCTCCTCCACTGGACGTGTCCTCCCCCTCCTGATGGATCTGCTTATTCTATTTCTTCTCCAAGACCCAAGGATCAATGTCATTACTTCTTTATGTCTCCTTCCTCTCTGACAGCTCCATCACCTGTGCTCCCATCTGACCATGTGGCATTCTCATAGCTGCTTGATGTGAACTTTAACATGTACCTGTGTCATTTTCCTGAAAATAAACCTCTTGAGGGCAGAATCTTGGTGCTCTTAGAAGAGATAATGAGTATAAAATACCTGGAATAAAAGTTGGCAGGATCAATAAATATAAATTCCTTTTCTCTTTCATTCATCTTTGTGCCCTATCACCTACCCACATGATACTCAATAAATGTGTATTGACCTCCAGTCCATAACTTAATGCTTATATTTATAATTACATAGTATATTACTAATACCCTACATTTCTATAGCATTTTACATTTACATCTTACACAAGATTTCTGAAAATACACCCCACTGGTTGTCAAAACCAGTGGACAAATGGAACCCTACTTTACCGAGGAGGAAGCCAAGGACAGACCCAGAAAAGCTATACCATTAACCAAGGCCACAGAGCCAAATTCAAATCCAGCCCCGACTCCAAAGCCATCTGCATCTTGTTTTCTTTTGGGCCGAACTAGTCCAGGCCATTAATGCCTCGCAGCCATCCCTCTGCCTGCAGAGCCCTGCCCAGACTCAGCTCTCATTAGCCTCCAACTTACACCTTTCCACCTCCAGTCTTGACTCCTCCCGGGATTCAGTCCCACTTTTTCAGAGACAACCTGAATAAAGTTCCTCTTCTGAAGATGGCTTCCCCCTAGAAACGATCTGGGGAGACATATTTCTCCTTGAAAAAAACAGCAACAAAACAAAAAACACAACAAAAACACACCATCAGAGAAAAAACAAATGTGAGGCAGTTTGCTCACTAACAACAGTGTCAGTGAAAAATCAGGCCCAGGCTTCGTAAGGTGTTTTTTTTTAAACACAGCTGTAGTGAAGCGGCAGGCCTGAAGGAACCTGCTGTAAATATCTTTCACTTTCACTTACCTGCAGGATAAAGGATGACAAGGATGGCAGGCACGACGCTCCATTTCAGCAAGTGGAGGGAAAGACAGTCCAGGTTTACCCCATGCCTTTTCTGTCCTGGGGACTTAATGTACATTTTGACTTAAGCCTTTCGTCTCCAGTCAATCTTACACATATTCCTGACTGTCTCCTACTCTGTGCCTTCCGCTGGGCCAGGCACGAGGGACAGAACAACCCCTTCCTTGTGGAACTGCAGCAGTTCTCAACCTTTCTTCCCGTAACACCCCCAGGGACACAGCACGTCATTAGTAGCACGGGCTCATTGAGTCCTGATTGTTACCACACACTCATGGCAGACTGGGAATGGTGAGGGGTGGGTGGGGTTTTGAGGTGCAAGAGGACAAAGCACCCTGAGTGATTCTGATGCACTCCCCCACTACCTAAAGAAGGACTTAGATTCAGCACAGTTAAAAGACACTCAGGATACAGTGCATCGGCACTGTGATGGGAAAGCACAGTTCTTTGTGCACCCGTGGAGTTGGGTGGAGGTCAGAGCTTTCTGGAGGAAGTGACAGACGAGAACTGAAAGAGTAGGAGCTTTTTGTCAGAAGAACGGGCACGGGAGAACGGGCACGGGGATGAGATGACACAGTGCGGCAGCATTTTCAGAACAGCCTCTGCTGAAGCTCAGGGAAACAACAAAAGAATCTGGCACCATTAGAAGAATTGAAAGAATTTAAGAATGGCTGAAAGGTGGAGTACATCGAGGGGAGCAGCTAGAGACCTATCTGAGCACGATCTTGAGTGGCTCTGAAACCCGTGCCATACTTCACTTTGAGTGCAATGGGAGCCACTAAAGAGGACCAAGGGAGGGGTTCCGGCTGCACGGTGGAGGTTTTAGGGGCTGGTAGCCAGAAGGCAGCTAACAACCTGACCTAGGAGATGACCATTCATTGATTGTATAACCAACACAATCAGGGAAAGGGGAATTAGCCAGACTTTGGCTTGAATAACTGGGTGGGGATGTGCAGAGGCAGGGCCTACTTTTTGTCATAGGCGCCTGGGAAACAGATAATGAGCAGTTCAGTTTGGAACATTTAATTTGAGGTGTCCATGTGGGGATGTTCTGTATACAGATCTGGAGCTCAGGAAAGAGACCTGGGCAAGGGACAAAGACTTCAAACAGTAAAAAGGGCCATGACCTGGGTAAAATCATCCAGGAGAGCGTGTTGAAGAGACTGGCCCTAGGAGAGAACTTTGAGAAACACCAGCCTGCAGAAGACTAGAGGAGGCAGAGGTGACAGCAGAGGGGAATGTCAGGGGCAAGGATGCCACTTCACAGATGAGGAAACTGGGTCTCACCCTCCACAGCTGGTCTAAGGCCTTCCAGCTGGGATGGGGCACAACTGGCCTTCAACTTCTATCGGGCGCCTGGCTTTCAAATCACTTGTTTCTATTACATAAAATTGTAATGATGCACACAGGAATAACCTCCTCCCCCTGAACTTGTCCTCATTTGAATTTCCCTTTCCAGACACCAGTCACAGACCAGTTTCCCTTCCCTAGCTCTCTCCTGCCTAGATGACAGTGATGAGGGATAAGACAACCAAAAGGAAAAGCAAAAACAGGACTCACCCGACCTTGACCTAGGCTAACAGCTAATTCTGAACATGGCTCCACTCCTAACTTACACGGGAACTCACTCAGTTCCTTTAGGTTCCCTACATGTTTAACGAGAACAGGTTCTGTCTGGCATTATCCAATGGCCTGAGCTAGGAATGAAGGGCTATATGAAATTTAATCATTAAATGACTTTTTAAGATACCGTATCAAACTCAGGGCAATGAGAAAATTGGCTTAAATAATTCAGGTGTTCCAGAGCAGTTTCTCTTGCTCTAGAGGATTAAGCATGACCCCTGACACCCACCCTGTTTAACTAGGACTAGGTTTACTGTAGTTGACAGCAGGGATGAATGAAAAATCTTGCCTTCCTGGTATGACTTGAGGTGAGCCTGGAAAGTCCCCTGATCAAAGTAATCTCCCCGCCCCCACAGGTAGTGCCTGGTTCCCACCCAGGGAGAACACATCGATTCTCCGAATCTGTTTCCTTATCTGTAAAATGAGGGTAATAGTGCTCACCTCACACAGCTATCTTAAGAATTAAACAAGTCTGCCAAAGCTCTCAGCATGCTGCCTAGCACAGGCCAATCATCATCATTAGCCCTTGTTACCACCGTTTTTGTGCAAAACTTTGCTCACGGGTGGAGTGGACCTCGAGCCTGGGAGGACCGGTTACTGAGATTACTTTGTAATGACCCCGAGCCAGGGAGCAGCTGAGCGAGGGAGCAGGTGAGGCTAGTATCAAACTCCTTAACGTTTTCCAAGAGACAGAATGTACTACTTCACAATTATTCTCCTGCTTCATGTTCGTCCTCAAGTGATTTCTGAGCAGCAGTGGCAAGGCCTCAGGAGCTAGGTCCGTGGCGGAGAACAAGTTTCTTGTGACATGTCCATCAACAATGAGAAACGAGGTAACTGACAAGGCGTGGAAAACCGGCCCAGCTCCGCACACAGCTGGGATTCCTCCCCCTTGGCCACCTGCTTCCCTTCTCACACTAAACTCAGGACGGCAGTGACACTTGGTGCGGTTCCTCACCCCCTCCTTCCTGGAATTTAGGACATCCAGCTAAGCGCGGGGCTATCTTTAAAAGGAATTTGTTGTGGCTCTAAATGAGCCTGCCGGGGAGGGCGACGTGCGGCGGCCCGGGGC